TTGGAGATCTTCCATGACGCGAAACATCACGCGGATCGATGATTGTGCTGTAAGTCGGAAAACGCGCTAGCCTAGAAGTATGTCTGGATGAGGGCGTTGCGCCGTTGGGTGCCAGTCAGATATGACTGGATTCATGCATCGTGACAGGTACCGACGCCCCATGACCAATAGTTCGGTTGACAGTCAAAGTAGAGTCGACAGACCGGAAATAACTTAGGCTTCGTGAGTTTGTTTGGCGCGCCGGAGTCAGATTTTACCTAACACGGCCCCCGTTGCGAACCTTGAGACGGCGACCCGGCGGCATCCGTCTTGGGAAGGGAGACCAGGAGCACCGACTCCCGCCGAAACGCAACGTGTCAAGCAGAGGTCAGTAACGGGAAACAAACAACGTTGAATGCCTTTTCGGTTTCTTTCTGGGTCTGACTATGATGTCTCTGCTCTGCGGATACCGGTGCACCATAGCAACAAGCAGGGACGCCAAGCTGTCAAGCCCCCTACGAAGAAACACAGTGTGGTTCTCCGAGGATGTGTACCGAGGAGCTCTGAGGTTGAGATTGTCTCACCGAGCTCCCCGTGTCCCCGCGCTCCGCCGTGTGAGACGGTGGCCTTCGGTGAGCCTGTAGGATGTTGGCTTGACTCGCTCGGTCAAGACTCAAGCTCGCGGGAGGGAAACAGTCGACGAATGGGAACGAGAGGAACCACAACCGAAACAGCAGTCGTCTAGGTAGGTTAGGTACCCATTAAGGCCTATTAAGGCACCCCCCGGGCTGTCGATCCATGCTCCAACCGCCAACTAGGTTTATGTCTGGCGCATTGGTGTTAATTTTCTCTCTTAGCTACGCACAGATAGGGCTAGGGAGGGTCTGTCGTAGGTTGCGAATCCAACGGCCGCCTACCTACCCATTTTGGACTGTCAGCTGGCACAGACAGATGGCACTCGATTACCTAAGCATACGGTACGTATCCTTTCCCTTGACTTGACTGTTCCCCTCCCCCCACTTCGAGCAATGGGAAAGCTGCGCCCTTCAAACTTCCGACACAACGAGCCGAATCCAAAGCCCCGACGACGACGACGACGACAACGCCGGCTTCCTACAGCACCGCAGCCAAATTACTTACACAACCACCACCATTACCACCCTTCCGACTCCACGTCTTCTGACTGCCGGATCCTGGGGTCTGGCATGCGATAGACTCGACCGTGGGTCCGCCTCATGTCTCTGGAACGGTAGAATTCGAGAGCGAGAGAGTGTTCGCAGGATACCCCCCGGCCCGCATTTGTCATCCCTTCTCTGGCTCTTACCGCCCAAGGGTGCGTGTCTTGTATGTCTGTGTGCGCGCGCGCGAATGCGTGTCATCTCACCCTCCTCGAAAGATTCTCCTTCTCGCCTCCCACCAATCCTTGGTGGCTCTCTCTGTTCCTCCTCAAACACAGCACACAGCTCTGAGCTGCCAGCAACCACACGTCCAAGTCCATACGTTGCTCGACGTACGCCATGGAAACATTCTCGCCGAGCCAAATGTCGAACCCGACGACACCCGCCCACGCCATGACCACCAACCCCCACCAACATTCTCCCAACTCACCACCCACAGTCCACGAATATGCCGCCCTCGCCCGCCATGGCGCCACCTCAATATCCCCCGATCAACCCGTCGCCATGACGCCCTCCGGCCAGCCCGCCCTAAACCCGCGCAGCTGCGTCACCTGCCGGAAGCGGAAGGTCCGCTGCGACAAACAGATGCCCTGCAGCAACTGCCGTCGCGCCGTTATCCAATGCATATTCCCAGCCCCGGGCCGCGCTCCTCGTCGACCGAGGCCGAAGGATCCGAACGCCCCGCCCAAGAACTCAAGCGAGCGCGAGGTTGAGCTGATGAAGCGCTTGCGCAAGCTTGAGGGCATCGTCGAGGAGCTGAGCGGACAGATCGAAGTCGAGAGCGGCCCGGGGAGCAACGGCGGCCGCCATAACTCGAGCACTGGAAACTCCCCAGAGACCTTTGCGAATGAGGTCGGCGGCGACAGGCCAACCGCCACACAGAACCACGGCACTCCCACTCCTGTCGGCAGGGAGGCTGCCTCGCCAAACAGAATGGACACGGACTCGGACCCGAAGCCGTCACAAGACAAGCAGCCGGGCCTCAACAGGCAGTTCGGCAGGCTGGTCATGCACGACAAGGGGAAGTCGAGCAGATACGTGAGCAGCGCATTCTGGTCCAAGCTCAACGACGAAGTAGGTAGCCCAATCCGCATTTCATTCTGCCGCTGACACCGAGGCTCTCTCTGCAGCTCGACGAGCTACGGGAAGAAACGCACGTTCTCGACGACGATACGGATGACTCGGACATCGAAGACACACCCGACCAGTCCCCCCAGCAGAGCATGGATGCTGCGACGGATCATCACGCCTTCATTCTGGGCTACCGCTCCTCCGACGTTGACCTTCGCAAGCTGCACCCCCTGCCGTCTCAAATACCCTTCATGTGGCAGGTCTACCAGGAGAACGTTGAACCGTTGCTCAAGATACTGCACATCCCCACCATGGAGAAGCTCATCCGCAACATGCGACGGAGCATTGATGACCTGACTCCGGGGAACGAGGCCCTTTTGTTTTCCATCTACTACGCGGCCATTACGTCCATGGAAGACGAGGAGGTAGGCAGCGCGATCCCCTAACCGCCACCCCCTGCATTTAGCCCCGGTTCACATTCTGACCAGCCCTGCAGGTGGAGAAGAATTTTGGCTCAAAGAAGGAGACACTGCTATCGCAGTTCCGCTTCGCCCTCGAGCAAGCCCTCGCCAAGGCCAACTTTCTCAACACGTCGGACATGGTTGTGTTGCAAGCCTTCGTCCTGTTCCTCACGCTGGTGCGGCGGGAAGACGACACTAGGTTCTGCTGGACGCTGACGGGCTTGGCCATTCGCATCGCGCAAGGGCTTGGAATCCACCGGGACGGGACAAACTTTGACCTCCCCCCCTTTGAAACCGAAATGCGGCGCCGACTGTGGTGGGCCATTTGCACGCTGGATCTGCGATCAGCCGAAGAATTGGGTAGCGACCTCACCATCATCGACCGCTCCTTCGACACGGAGCTTCCTTCCAACGTCAACGACTCGGATATCGAACCGGGCATGACCGAGGTGCCAAAATCGCGACGTGGCAAGACGGACTGCGCCGTGTCGCTTGTGCGTTACGAGATTTGCGCGCTGTCGAGACGGCTACACACGGCCGGGTCGGCCATGGCCGGCGTGTGCCCGCGATATGCGTCGTCGAGCCTCGAGGAGCGCGAGCGGATGCTGATTGAAGTGTACGACCGCGTCGAGGAGAAGTTCCTGCCGCACTGCTTCACGCACGACGATCCCCTCTTCTGGATGGCCGGCATGATTGCTCGGGTCATCATGGCCAAGATGAGTCTTGTCATTTACCAGCCGATGCTGTTCCCCGGCAACGGCCATGAGCTCTCCAACGAAATCCGCGACCGGCTCTTCCTGTCGGCCATCGAGATCGTCGAGTACAACTACATCCTCAACACGGACCCCCGCTGCAAGCAGTGGAGGTGGCTCTTCCAGACATACCGGCAGTGGCACGCCATCGCCTACATCCTCATGGAGGCCGGGAGACGCCCGTGGTCGGCGACTTCGGAGCGGGGCTGGGAGGCCGTCAACAACACGATGCGATTCGATAGGGACCCGGCGGAGATATCCCGCATGGCGGATCACATGGCGGTCTGGGTCCCCTTGCGGAAGCTCAGCGCCAAGGCGACGAAGCATCGCGAGGCCGAGATTAAACGCCTGCGGTCGGACCCCGAGGCCGCCCGCCAGCTCGACGTGGACGACCGCATGAATCCTATACCGGCGAGGCTCGGCCCCGTTCCGGGAATGGAGGTTCAGCACGCGCAGATCCGCGCTCGCTGGCGGACGCTTGTGCGTACGGAGGGGTCCAGCCCGCTGCAGCCGGCGGCGAACCGTCCGAACCAGGTGCAATCAGGGCAGAAGGCGTCGCCGGCGGCACCCGCGCCGCCGCAGCCGAACCAGCCGGCGCGCATCCCTGCTTCGGTGCGCCCGCCGAGGGAGCCCGAGTTCATCGACACGATCATGATGGCGCGTGGCTTCAACCCTAACCACATCTGGGAATACCTCTATCCCGCGGCGGAAACGATGGCGGCCGACCCGAACAACACGCTCTTCCCGGCCAGCGCGTCGCAGGCGCCGCACTCACAGTCCATGATGTCCTCGGACATGCAGTGCTCCCCGGCGTCGGGGCACAACCTAGACGCAGAGCAGAGACAGAGGCAGCAAGCCATCGCCGCAACGTCACAACCGAGGGCCTCGTCGTCTCTAGCCGACAACCAGCCTCCCTGGCTGTGGTCAGACCCGTTTACCTCGATCAACAACGAGCCGGGCGACTCCATGGACATAAACATGGACAACCTGGAGGACTTTAACTGGCAAAACTGGCAGGAGAGCATCAAGGGATTCGAGATGGACCCCGACAACATGCCTCAGAAGGGAGCATGGTAGTGAAGGGGGGGGGGGGGCTGGGTGGTGGATGAAAGGTGCGTGTGATGATGATGCATGCATGTATGCATGTATAGGAAGGGAGAGAGGGTGTTGGTTTTGCATTGTCTCTCGCAATTTGGCTCTGCAAGGGCGATGTAATGATACCCATGGGAAACAAAGGTAATGAATGAATGATGCAAAATGATGCAAAATGTATTTTTATCACGCATAGACAACAAACGAACACAACGGTGGACGGCAAACAATGCAGGCAGGGTGCATCAGGTCACACAGCTGCTGCTGGCTCTGTATTTGCCCCTCGCTGTACATAGATAATTCATTACTCACTCAGGTAGCTCAAACGGATGAGCTCGTCAATCATCTCACCAGCCAGCATCCATCACTGACGCGACCCAAAAGGATGGACGATCAGGGAATCGAACCCTGGACCTACCGCATGCTAAGCGGTCATTATACCACTAAACCAATCGCCCAACGTGGGATGATTTCGTCCAGGTTCGAACTGGAGACCTTCAGTGTTGCAGTGAGGACGGTCGGGTGAGACGCTCTCGAGCTGTTAGACTGACGTGATAACCAACTACACCACGAAACCATTCATTGCGGGTTTTGTTGGCGTGGTGGCGGAGGGAACCCGCTCTTAGTGTCACGAACGAGCCGAGTGTGTGGGCGGAGGGAGGGCGGTGAGAAGTAAAGTGGAGGTGGAGAAATGCAGTGAATTATTACTTAACGGGGGTTTTTATTTTATTTTACATATCGAGTCTGATGAGCTTGGTGCCTGCACTGCTCCGGGCGGACCCTGTATGCATACATGTACACTTTACAATCAGCAGTCCTTCTTTGCCTGGTTACACCTCTTGACTGGATCACACATACATGGCGTATTTACAAATGGACTTGTCACGGGCGGAGTGAGAGCGAGGTAGAGCCAAGGCAGTGCAAGTAATCAATCAGCCCGGGGCTGACGGGGGTCGGCAGATTTTCTTATTAGTTTCTGTTGCACCAGGCATCAAAGAGGGAGGAAGGAGCAGCAAACAACGCTAGACGTTTGACACCAACCATTCATTCACCTCACCCAGCATCACATCGCCCCCACTGCCGATATATAAGATCCAGCTTCAGACTTCAACCTCGACTCCTAGTGAACGACTTGTCAAGCATCGAGCAATATTATTCTCATTCCAGTAGCAGCAGCAGCAGCAACAGCAGCAGCAGCAGGAGAATATTCCCCGTTTACTCGGAACCAAGATGGACGGCAAGACGCGGCAGGCCGACGCAGCCCCGAACCAGTTTGCCCACACTCGCGTTGGCGTCGCCGTCATCATCCAGCGCAGGGACGGCAGGATCATCGTGGGCCAGCGCAAAAGCAGCCACGGCGCAGGTACGAGGTTTTTATGTCTTCTTGGCAGTTTTTTTCTTTTATACACATGTCTCTGTTTTCTTCTTTTTTTCTTTTTTAACCCCCCCCCCCCCCCCCCCCCCCACAACACCGCTGACGCTCACACCCAAGGAACCATCCAGCTCCCCGGCGGCCACCTCGAGTTCGGCGAGTCCTTCTTCGCTTGCGCGGAGCGCGAGACGCTCGAGGAGACGGGGCTGCGCGTGCGCGGCGCCGGGGTCGCGGGCGTGACCAACGACCTGTTCGGAGACCAAGGGAAGCACTACATCACCGTTTTCGTGCGGTGCGAGATGGAGGACGGAGACGCGGAGCCCGTCGTGAGTGGCGAACCCCCCGAATCCCAAACCAAAACGCTGGAATCGGTGAGAGGTGAAAAGTGAAGAATAAACGGGAAGTGAGGCTGACTTATAACCCCCTTCCCCCCCCGGCCGACAGAACATGGAGCCCGAAAAGTGCGCGGGCTGGTCGTGGGTGACGTGGCGCGAGGTCCGGGAAATGAACGAGGAGGCCGAGGGGCCCTGCGGCGGCGGACAAGCGGCGAAGCTGTTCCTGCCGCTGAAGAACCTGGTGGAGGAGAATCCGGATTTCGAGATTTCTGGTTAGGTGGGGGGATGGGGGATTCCGGTGTGTTGGAGCAGGAGAGAGCGCAGAACGGCGTTTTCTCGAGTTCTTTTCTCATCTTCTTCGCGATTGAGCGACCTGTTATCATACGCCCCCCACGCACGTCGGCCAGGCTCCTCAGAGAAGGAACTTGATGCGCAGCGGGAGGCGGACCGTTCGATATCGAGCAGCCCCGAGGAAAGCGAGGGGCGAGTTTTGGGGATTGACCACGTCGCCTTTAGACAGTATACCTAGGGATAGAGCATGCGAGAGGGCCGTCGCCTATCCAGCCTCTGCATCTTCGAATCGGGGTAGACCCAGCTTCAGCAGGCGTCCATGGTCTTGCTTGTAAGTGGACGGATGGCGTCGAGCGAAGCCCCGAGCGGCAACGCGGCCCTGAGACTTGGAACGGAACGGGGTCGAAAATGTTATATGTATGCTTGCTTTGCAGCACTCTGCAGTTGCACGAGTATCTACATCGTGAACGGGACAAGTGTTACGAGGCATCTGCAAGGCTAGTCGAGGCGCCGCATGTACAATTTTGAACTTTGATAGCAGCGTCCCAAGCGCGCAGCAGTGCCTCGGACAAGACGTCTTCTGAACGATATTGATTATGGTATAGACAACGGATTAGGTATATAAGGGGACAGCGCTCGCTTTTGCATCATGCAGGGTATCCGCGTGACAAGTATTTGAAGCTCGAAAACGGTCGACAAAAGAAAAACCAGGAATCTCAAGATCTACACCATGTCGTCGACAGACGACCGACGGTCACCCCTAGCGAGTTGCGATGTCACCGGCTTACGGGGCACCCCGGCGCCCCGGCCATCTCGACTGCCGGTGCTATACCGCGTCCTACCGGCGGGTTTGTCGGGGCCAGCGCTTCTGGCCCCGCGTCTCCTGCCCCAGCCGGCCTTCCGAGTGGCCACTGCCCCGTCAAAGTCGACGACGCCGTATTCGAGAGGCATCTTGCGGTGCAGGGGAATGTGGTTGAAGCGCCAGTCCCATACCGCGGCGTAGACCATCCGGTAAGACGAGAAGGCGAAGACCGTGCCGATGACGGCGCCGGCAAGAACGTCGTACCAGTTGTGAGACTGGTCGACGGTCAACGAACCGCCGACCAGGGTGGCGCCGAGGACGGGGGCGTAGGTGAGGACGAGCTTCCACATGGACGGGTGGTAGTTCGAAAAGACCTTGAGCTTGGCGTTGAGGTACAGGTAGAGGAAGACCATTCCCGAGAACATGGCGGTCGTGTGGCCCGAGGGGAAGGACTCGAGGGCGTTGGAGAGGGTCCCGTCCATCTCTCTGGCGCAAATGTCCGACGTCCACATGATGCCCCCGTAGCCGGTGCCGTCGAGGCCGGTCGCGTTGCCGCCTGGCCGCGAGGCCTTGCCGATGTCCGGCTGGCAGACCTCGAGGAAGTTTGGCCTCAGCCCGCCAATGAGCCACTTGACCATGACCTGGAAGACGGTCGAGCCGAGGACGGAGTAGAGCAGGCCCATGATGCCATTGTTGACGTCCCAAAAAGATCGCACGCGGATCTGGCAGAGGAGGATGGATAAGACGGGCACGCCGATGGAGAGGGCCGTCGCAGCATGGCTGGGGATATACTGCGGGATGTGAGGGTAGGCGAACTGGGGGTAGACAACCTCGCCGTCCTCAAAGGTGACGGGGAAGGTCCGGTGGGCAGGCGGGTGGGCTCTGAAGACCTGGGAAAGCGGCGTTAGTCGAGGCGATGGGACAGGCGTGGGATCCCGATTGGAGGCCCGGCACTCACCACCAGCGCGACAACTCCCATGATGACCATGGTGAGAATGTCGAGCCAGGTCACCTTTAGCCACAGCATGAAGGGTGGTCTATGGGCCATGGTGTAGTCGCGCCCATGCCAACGGTCGTTGACCTTTGTGTCCTCGCTGCTTCGGCGGCGGTGGGTGGGGAGAGTGGAGGTGTCGTTTTGACGACGCGCAAATGGGTTGAAGCGTGCCATTGTTGGGGAACCAAAAGCATAGGCAAGGTCGAGGTTGTCGAATAAGAGGCTTGGCCGACAAGACGTCAATGAGAGAAGAGAGTAGAGGCCGTGAGCCGACCGGGATGGGCCTTTTGCTCTGCCAATGCGCGGCGATACCAGGACAACCAGAGGAAGCGACGATGGACGAGTGGACGTGCCGGTAGCGACGGGTTTGTGATAACAGCAGGAGGGCATCATTCCTTCTAATACATATGATTGCGAGTTCCTCACCGGCCATTCATTCGCACGCATCATCCATCCATCCCTTTCCCCCAGGCTGGTCACCAACTCTTGGCACCCGCTGGCACCCTTTCGTGCAGCCAACTACGTACTATCTTGGGTAGATCCAGGCCGTGCTCAAATACCTGACTGAAAAACATAACCAGAGAGACACAGACAGAGACAGACTGCAGAGGGACAGAAGAAGCGTGTGAGACGAGAGAACAGGAGTGAATCGCGGACGCGCCATGCCAAGTCCTGGTCTGCTTCTGACGTCACTTTCAGTGCAACTCAACTCCCGCGCCGATGACAGCAGCCGCTGGACGTTCAAGCCAAGCCGCTGAGGGCCTGCCAAAAAGGCTTGGCTGATGCTGTTCTGTCGCGCCCACAAAACGAAGAGGCATTCGCCTCTTGGAATGAATGAATGACTGCTTGCATCAGGCCTGACGGCAGAATGTTGTTGACTGTCCTTGGAATTAAGCGAGTACTAATTGCGGTCAAACGTTGATTATCCCCCTTGACGATGTCATACCCCCGTGTGTGGCTTTGTCGCATACACGATGAAGAGTGCCGTGCGGCGACACTTGATTGGGGTAGGGTGTTATTGTTCCTTTTCTCTCTCCCTTTTTTCCTCATTCTCGAGTATGCTCGGAAAGCTGTTGGAGGCAATTTCCGTTGCTCAAGCCGGGGTGAATCGGCGCAGGACATCCGACACTATGAAATCTTCAAAGGGTCCCCGTCACTGAAACACCAAGACTAAGAACGAAGGAACACCACGCCGAAGAAATCATCGCGCCCAGCAGAATTGTTTCCTCTGACTTGATGTTATCGATAACAATGTAACCCAAGAAGATTACTTGGGTTCCTGTAAACAGCTATCTCGGTAACAAATATTCAGTAGCAGTGTCACTCAGATCCTCCTGCCACCTCAGTGTCGGAGCGCCTCTTTCAATATAAGACTGCCCGTGTCCTCATCTATCAACAGGGCGATGGCTGGTATCCACGGTCACTGTCACGAGAAGGCACCGAGAAATGCAGTCACGGGGAGCGGCGGGAGTTGTAAATCTGCCTGCCGCAAATGCGGCAAAGGCTTTGCGTGTTGGAATGTCTACAGTCGCCTGTAACTATGTACAATGAGAAATTTAATAACGGCTTTCGAAGCCGAGTTTGGCGCATTGCGCCTGGAGGCCGGCCTAGCCTATATAGCTTTCCCGGAAAACGATGGGTTCTGCGTTGCGGGCACAGCCGGAGGGGTTCAACCACGACACAACAAGGGATTTGGCCCAGTCGTCGTCGTCTCAAGAGCGACGGGCCCTAGAAGCGCGAGGAGTAAATGTTTACTGCTCGACGCGGAAGATGCGGCTGCGGC